CCGTCTAACCAATCACAGCTCCGCCCCTCCTCTCCTTCCTCCCCCTTTCCTCCTTAATCCCGGGCCCCTCGGACACTCCCCGAATAATCCTCCGTGACTCCATTGCCACAGTCACCCGACCCGGCCCGGTCCAGCTCCCCTTGACACGTTTGGGGACGAAGAGGTCCTGCCTCGCTTCATGAGTCCTCCTCGTCCTGTACAGAGTTCGGGCAGATGCAAAAATATTTTGGCCCGCCATGTCTGCCCGACTCTCTTGTCTCGGTCGCTGGATTGGTTTGTGGCGTGCCCGATTTCCCACTTCTGCTGCCTCTCAAGTTCCTCTTTGCTGTCGCTTCCTTTTACTTTTACTTTTTTCCTTATTTGTTTGGCTTGTTAACTTTTGCTTTACAAGGACATTGAGAAATTCAGGAATGTAGGACTAATTTGAGTCAACATTTCGGTGCTGAGATTGACATGACGATCGGATTTGATGTCATAATATTGTAAGTTTGGATATTAATTCATTTGTTGTCACTGATCTTGTCTTTTTTTTTTTTGGACATATTTGATATCAAACGTTTAATGAATAAGATGTATTTTTAAAATTTAAAATTTTAATTTTTTAATTTTTTAAAAATATACCCATTCAATTAAGAGTGAATATTATAGTTTGAGACCAAATTGTAAGATACTATTTTCCAAAACATATGAAATCAAATAGTCATTGTAGAAAGAACCGTTTAAAAATGAATTAAAAAAATAATCTTGGAAGTGTTTTGTTGCATTACAAGGAATAATAAGCATAGGAGGCAAAAAAAAAATTATAATCATAATCATATAATGTGAACTACTGTATTTTTTTCTTTTAAATTTTGGAAGATAATAATAAACTAATTTTCTTAGTATTTTTTTTTAAAAAAATCTACTTTATGATACAGTCTACTAGATGATATTATTTTAAAATTGTACATAATATATTTTAAATGCTATTTCTAATGCTATTTCTAATTTGTGACCAAAACATTCCTTTCTAAGTCTGGCACTTGGTTCCATATGGTTTTAATTAGCACATAAAGAAAGCACCATGACTTAAATCTACATTATTTTTTAAAATAATAGTAATAATAAATAAAAATAAAAATATTTTATTTCATAAAGATTTCATGACATCCCAATTCTTATAACATTTGATCAAAATTTACATTATGTACTCAAATTTAAAATACTACATTTTATTCATTAAATCATAAATCAATCCACAACATGACTTTTAAATATTGACTGTGTTGGTTTCTCTCCACATCAACTTTGTCATAGTTGTATTTGCTTCTTTTTACTTTTTGATGTGCATTAATTTACTCCAAGATAGTTAAACATTGTTCATAAATTGGTTGTGTTACATCTCAAGTAAGCTCTAGTCTTCTAAAACATCTACCTCTACATCTTATTTTTTAATTAATTTATCCATCTTAGATCATGCCAATGGATTAGCTGCCATCTTGTATCAACCAACAATATCTTACAATAAAATAAAATTATTATCTCTACCAAAATAATTAGGTGCGCTCTCTACCATAGACTGTAAAACAAGTGGGTCAATTAAAAATTAGGTTGGCCAATTTAATATCTTCATAAATTTATTTTTATTTACAATTGCTACTTTATTTTCTTGAGAATATTTATATTATTAATTTATTTGTGTCTTGGGTTTTTTAAATGTGTTTTTTAATATTTTTACTTTATCAAATTAATTTATATTTTAATGATATAATAATTTATCATAAAAACTTATTATCTTTTAAAATCTATTAATAATAAGATATGATTGTGCCTTTTAAATTTGCAAACATTCTAAACAAATGATTCTCTTGAGCTAGCATGCTTTAAGATTCTTGTTAATTTAAATATAAAACTTACTATTATGCCTTTATAAAACTTACTTAATATTTTTTTATAATATTATAATTTAATTTAACTAAAAATTTCTTAAAAAATATATAAAATTTAAAATTGAATTACATTTAGTTTAATTAATATTTTAAAAACCATAACATATCAAAATATTTGTAACTAAAATTTGGACCTTTACATTTTTTTTTACTTGATTTTTATCGAATGTTTTAAAATTTAAAATATTAATGAATGTCAAAATTTTAACCATTTTTAGTTTTTCCAAGGCATGCATAATTATTTAATTTTTATATTTAAATTTATTATTATCAAAATTATTACAGTGCATGTAATCTTATTTTTTATGCATGTGGTTTGTATATTTAAGTTTTATTGACGAAAATAATATTATTCAGATATAATATTTTTTGCCTTTTGGCATTTTAAGCTTTATACACTGAAATTGTATTAAAATTTCTCCAATTAAGTATCTTTAGAATCCATATATATATATATATATATATATATAATCGTACAACTTTGAACATAAAAGATATATTTATATTTCCATTGTATGTGATTTTTTTGGCAGCTTTTAATTTTTAGTAAAAATGTTAAGCTCTTACTTATATATGCCTTACATATGTCTTGTTATTAACTCAAATATATATATATATATATATATATATATATATTTATATGAATGTTTAGTGTTCATAAATTAATATATTTCACATGACTTTAATTGGCTAAATTGTGCACTTCTGTGTTTATGGCAGATTTGGCAGTGTTATATTTAATCTCAATATTGACTCAAAAATAGTACAAATAAAAAATAAAAAAAGTTTTTGGCAGCCAAATAAATAAGTAGATAATATAACATAACATAATTTTGAATTAACTAATTTTTGAAGCAAATATTATGTTTTGTTTTTTTAAAATAACTTGCTACCTATTTTTTTATAAAAAAGTCATTGTTTCCCTCTTAATCTTGACTATGTCTTAAAGCAAAGAAAGAGAAATTGGGCACAAAAAATAAGGTATATTATGAGCTAGTTTTCTAGAAGAACATCAGGTGGGATGTAGTGATATCAATTAGGGATCTTTTAGACCTTTTTAGATCTATATCTTGTTAGAAGTGCCTTCAAAAGATACAATTATATATTGTATCATCCTCTAATGATTCCATGCATATCAATATAATATTGAACTGTTTTATCTAGATTGATTATATGAAATGTTTGTTCATGTACAAGTATAACAATTTCTATGGAGGCATGTCACTTTGAAGTCTTTAATCACGACAATCTTTTGTAGCTTGTAAATTTTTGTTGTTGTTCCGAACACATTATTTATTAAAATTTCAGAATTTTTTTTTCTCAACTAATACATTATTTATTGATTTATTTATTTTACTAAGGGGCTGTTAATATTTGATATCATAATAATAAAAAAATCTTTAATAGTTATCTTAAAGCTTTACTTTGAACACCACATTTGTAGATTTGTATGTGTTTGCTTAATTGGCATATTAAAGAAAACACAAAAATTATATATATATATATAATTTGTGTGTTTTCATTACAACTTAAATGATTAAAATTTTATAAGATCGAAAATTAAAAGTTAGAATTAGTTGTAGTAAAAATATTTAAGTAGATTAAATTAATTCATACCATTTCAAAATCAAGTTATACTTTAAAATAGATGGTAGTTTTCAAAAGTCATGTAATAACAATGTTAAAAAATTCTTTCCATCTCAACAATAACAAAAAAATATTAAAAATTAAAAAAAAGTAAAATAGATTGAGTACTATCAGCCAAAAATAAGGTTCAAACCCAAACTTTGCAAAACTTGAAACAAATTCAACCCCCTAAGTTTGTCAATGAGTTGAAATGAAAGCATCCTACAGTAAAAACCCAAAATGATCCAAAGCAAATTAGGGCATGCCAATTCCAACCCCAATTTCCAAGCCAGTTCCATGCAGGATTTGCAAGGCTTGGTGTGAAATTTTAAGGGCAAACCCCACAGAAATCTCCTGGGGAGGAAATTCTGATTGAGGGGGAAGGAGGGAGGGGAAGACGAAGACAGAAAAGAGGGGGGGAGGAGATCACTTTCCGAGATGGAACCTGCAGGCCACCCACTTTTGAGGTCCTACTGTTGTTGTTGTTGTTGTACTACTACTACTACTTCCACATGCTTTTGTGAGGCACCGCCCATGTCAGGGCTCCTTGCAAGTGTGATCCCCAATAAGGACAAAACTTGCACAAAACTCTCTCACTCCTTTCTATCTCATCTCAACCCTTTTGTATGGTTTCAAGGTTGTGGGTAAGCTTGGAACAAGGGCATCCATCATCCAACCATGTGAGGGTGGTAAATGGGTACCATTACCCTGAAGAAAAACCCAACCCATGCTCGCTCTTGGTCACATGCTAAGGTGCATGGGCAGGGCAGATTTTATTTTATTTTTATTTTATTTTTTCCTACTTTTTCACTCTCTTTCTCCAGCTCATCATTGGGCGGTCAGTTTTAACTCTTCCCCACAAGTGACAAGCTCTCCCCCCAAAAATTTCAAAATAATAAATTAGAGTGCAACAACTAATTATTTATGAGCTGGCAAGAGTTGGGGAATCGAGGTAGTTGAAAGGATGGATGAAAGGATGGATATAGATGAAAGGATATGGATAGAGTCATTCGTCGTGGATGAGGATGGGAGTCACGTTCATCCAGGCGGAGGTGGGAACGGGTCGTGGAGCAATCGTAGAGAGGGAAGGGGCCGGGTTACCTAGTCGTAGGGGGAGAAGGGTGGGGGTAGTAACTTACAGAGAAGGCTCACCAGATAACTAACTGCAAGGGAGGGTGTCCGTGCCGCCGGACCCCGCCAGAACCGGTCCTATCCAACCGAACCCGGTCAACTGCCCTGGACCCCACCAGATCCACCACTTGCTAATTCCATCGTCGAGGGTGCCAGGCTTTTCCATCGACCGGGGACGCCAGAGCGACGAGGCCTGGGCCGCAGCGAGCCTTGGGCCCCAGCGCGAGGGCAGGCGCGCTCGCGCGCCAGAGGGTGAGAGAGTAGAAGAACTGCACGCAGCCTCGCGACGGCCAAACGGGGCTCTCACCGATCTGTCGATTGCGTTGCCACACAGCCTCAGAGGGTCCGAGATTCGAAGATCCGCCACCGGATTAGAGCGGGGAATGTATTTCCAGGGACTGGGAAGGAGGAATTGGGGTCCTAGTAAAATAAATAAAATAAACACAAAAGGCAGACGCTGCACTGGGAAGGTGATGATCGGTTGTTGCTACTTATTATTACGCGCTGACTGAGTCCGTCTTATGGTGCGAGGTGCTGAGCCCCTTCTTCTTCTTCTTCATCTGCTGGGATCGCTATTGTCCTCGTCTTCCATTTTCCCATTTTTTTCTCGCTCCGCGCTGCTATGGTCGGCTGCCCTCTTGCGTGATGATTGAGGTCTGTGAAGTGGTGGAGGCTTGAGAGAAGAGGAGACGCGCGAGAACGGAGAGAGAGAGAGAGAGAGCGAGAGAGAGTGAGAGAGCGAGAGAGAGTGAGAGCGAGAGAGAGTGAGAGTGACGAGTAGGGGTGGATGGTGGTGTGTCCAGCACGTTAAAGGAGATTTGTCGTTGGGTTGCGGAGTGTTCGGTTTGGAGGAGGAGTTGCAGTGGTGGTAGAGTAGTGCCAGGGGTGAAGGATATGGTGAAGAATTCGTCTTGGATGTGGCATGTGGCTGGGGAGGCGAACCTGATGGACGTGGCGGGGTCGTTTTTGTGGTGAGCGTGGGGGGCCGGGTTCGGTCGGCTTAGTTTTATTCGGAGTCGCGCGCTTCGTCCCCCGCCAACCTGTACCTTTTTTTTAATCTCAAGGTGAGCAATCAAACGAGCTCGGGACTTCGCCATGGCCTATTGACGCCAGCAGAGATCAGTTACCTGCAGTCGATCAGTCTGTTGATTGGGTCATGTCGTTTTGTTTCGATGTCTGTTGATTCAAAGGCTCATGAACGTCCCAGGCGTTCATTAGAATGTTTTGGGATGATGGGTTATGTCTTGGACCTCGGACGTAGCGGCCAAGCTGCCACTTGTTTAGGTCGGGAGTGGGTTCCCAGTCGACGCGGAAGTAACGGCTTGTGCGTTACTTGTGCATATGCCACCTTGCGCGCCGTTTCAAAGCGGGAAATCTGTGCTGCTTAGTGAATAGAGATGTGAGTAGCGTTTCTTACTGTAGTTGCTGTTGTAGTGTTGTTAATTGTTGTAGTGTGCGCTGTACTTACAATGAATTATTTGATTTGGAATCCAGCAAAAGCTAGAATACCGGTTTCAAGATTATCCATACTGTGTCGCTTTCGCTGCTGTAATCGTTACGACAATGGCCGCGCCTCTAAGGTCTCTTACTCCAGGGCGGCGAAATCCGGGGTTGGACAATGCGCCACGATCGCAGAACTACCCTCGCGCAAACTTCCAGCAGCAGCAGCAGCAGCCGGTTATGTCTCCACGACCGTCAGGTCCAGTTGCCATTCTTTGGGACATTGAGAACTGTCCCGTACCAGGGGAGGTGAACGCAGAGGATGTGGCCCGTAACATCAGGATTGCACTCCGGGACCAGCCTCATATTGGGGCAGTCACAATGTTTTCGGCATACGGAGACTTCAACCACTTCCCCAAGAAGGTTCGCGAAGGATGCCAGCGGACGGGAGTCAACCTGATCGACGTACCCAACGGCAAGAAGGACGCGGCCGACAAGGCCATATTGGTGGACATGTTTCTGTTCGCACTCGACAACCCTTGCTCCACGATTGTTCTTGTGACCGGCGACGTGGATTTCGCGCCTGCTTTGCACAAGCTTGGCCAACGTGGGTACGTGGTGATTCTCGTCATTCCGGACGGCGTCGGCGTCTCTCCCGCTCTTAAGGGCGCTGGGCGCTACGTGTGGGATTGGCCATCTCTCTGTCGCGGCGAGGGCCTTGTCAAAGCGCGGTCAAACTCTACGCAACGGGCCCCGAATGTCGTGCACAACCACACCCTCTTCACTGCGGAGTTGCCCGCCAACCAGTACCCCGAAATTCACACAGAGAGCCGTAGCATCGCTGCCGACGACGACGACGACGATCACGTGATAGGTGAAGAAATCTTGGTTCAGAGGCGACATGTCTACAATGGGGCGCATTCTCCGCATGTGAACATGTATTCTCAGGTACACACGACACCTATCGATTACGGACATCAAACGTATGCGTTCCCAGGTCACATGAATTCTCACGGCCCTTGGATGAATCCGTCGGTACACGGCGTCCCGAGTCGCAACGCGCCATCGGCATCTGCTTCTGTAAGAAACAATCGATCTATATTCCCTACTCCAGAAGTCGTTCCTGCTATTCAGCCTGGCTTTCAAGCTGTTCAGGTGGGTGAAATGGGGTTTCCTTTGGATACAGCGGAGCCGACGAGCCCGGGAGGAACCTCGTGGGTACAACCTGGGGACGTCGCCGGACTGAAGAAGCAGCTTGTGAGGCTTCTGAAGCAGAACGGGGGCAAGTTGACCCTGGTGAAAGTACCAGCCGAGTACAACAAGCAGTATGGTCGCCCTCTGTACCTATCTGAGTACAACGCCCAGAAGCTTGTGCACCTCTTGGAGAAAATGAAGGACGCTTTGGTGGTCAAAGGAGACGGCATGAACAAAACTTTGCATCTTATCGAGAAGGTGGAGAGAAAAGCTCGCAACCCAGGCAACAAATACAAGCCCTCTACACCAAGGTCATCTACTCCTAAAGGCGACAAGGATAGGTACTGTAACCCTGCCTTATCATTCGTAGTTGAAGCATCTTGTTGGAACTTTGTATTTGTGGTGGAACGGTGCGTGTCTGCTCCGGTGGAGTGGAAATCGATGACTTGTATCCAACGTGTTTCTGTTGGACATTCGCAGCCGGGAAACAAGCGAAGACTCTGATCCTGAGGTGACGGTGAAGGAGGCCATCAAGGCTGAGTTCTCTACCATTGATGTGCCGAACAAGAGGCATTTGCTGGATTTGGATATGGACGATGCGAAGCAAGCGTTTTCCCTCCCCGTCGACTGGGAATCTGGCAACGACCTCAAGGCGAAACCTGATGCAACCAAGCCTGAAACTGTAGTTGACGTTGGAGAGGCAAGTTAATCACATCTTTCTGCTCTTTTAGGTTGGCTTTCGCTTGATGCGCAGCGACGTGGTACAGCTTATCATGTTTTTGCAGATATAAATTTGGGCTGTACATGAACGTTTTGAGTTTCCGCAGCAGTTGAAGTCCCAGTGATTTTCAAATTTCATATGCCATTGACGCTGGAATTGAAGCTTGAGCTTTTGCTTGTGAACATGATTAAGCCTTGTTCTCATGTATGCATCTTGAATTGAACTCTTCAGGTGTTCAATTCTAAAGACCAGAACGATATGAAGTTAGACCACTTTAAGCGAGAACTTGAGGAGCTGTTAGTTGTTTACGCTCTCGAAATTCGGCTGAAGGAATTAGAGCAGATTTACTATCAACGCTATACTAGAGTCCTCGACCTACAGCACCTTGGAGTGGACAGCTTGGAGACTTTGTTCCAGAAAGTATGCTCCGGATAACTCTGATTACAATACCCCTTCGTGGTGCTCGAAATTTCATTTTCTCGTTTTTAGGTCATCTAGTATTCACTGCATGCAAAAGACCTGTTCCTATTGATATCTTTAAAGGCATGGACTAATCTATATTCGTTCATAAATGTGACAGGTTAAAGATATTGCTGTGCTGAAAGAGAAGGTGGTTGAAGAAGAGGGAGAACCCAGTGGTAAACAGCTCTTTGTGGTTGCTGTGTGTAATCGTGAGCGGAAGACATGAAAGCATATCTTGAGGTTTGATACAAATCTGCGTCAATCCTTGAACTACACTTTCCAATCATACCTGCTTATCTGGCTCACAGCTTCTGCCTTCATCTTCGAGACATCGAATCCACTGTCGAATGGACAGAGCGTTACTTTCCGGTTTTACCCCTTTTATGTGTATGTCTATGTTGTGGAGCGTTCCAAATGGAAATCAGAGTCATCTACACCGAACTGTCTCCAGGGAAACATCTTTAAAGTTCCTCATCGCAGCAGCTCTAAGAGTCATCTGGCGAGAAAAGTTCATCCAGCAATGATTTATATGTGTTGGTTTGTTTAACTTATACTGAAGTAATATGGCTGCCCTGCATCGGTGCTGACGCTAATCTCTCTCATGCGACTTCTCAAACCAGACAGTAAGCACTTCGCTTGCTTGAACAATTAATTGGAGTTATCCAGATCTCAAAGAGTCCTTTTTTTTCAACACCTCTTGGGAAATGACTTCATCGATTCTAAGCTCTGAAGTAACGTGGCGCAAACTGAAGCAAGTAGCGGAAGATTCTTTGTCATGAAGTGGTGTACCTGCTGAACCAGCAAGGAATCGACCCTCCGAGTTAGATCAACTTGGAATCATCGTGCCGACTTTTTAAGGCTTTTGATTCACTCTTCACCCATTTCGCTTAGTCTTAGATTTTAATTGCAACCCTGCAACGACACACTGAACTGCTGGTTTGAGCCGATTTTTTGAAGGCCATCAAACCCAGCGCCTTCCTTCATTCCGAGAAATCTTCTTTCCGACCTGTCCATCAGCCGATTCAAGCGGTGGCGAGGTGAAGTGACATCCTGTTACAAGGTAAGACCAGTGTACCATTTACCTTCTCTTTTTCTTAAAATCCTTTACTGTCAGCGGACGTCTTGCTGGCCACAGTTTTAGCGTTTCAGAGTTGTGATGTGCATCTCTAACTGGATGCAGCACCGCTGGTCTGTGCAGGAACCAAGATTCGGTCGTCCAGGCGTAGAATTGCCATCTCCTACGCACGGTGACTTCACGACCTCACGCGATGGAGTTGGTCAACAAATACTGGATCGCATCAACTGCGAATTTTATCAGCGGTTAATCCGTCACCTGCCCAGCCTACTGGATATCTTCTCAAGGCTCTCGAAGCTCTTCTCACTGGAGGTTTTACGGCACGGTTTCTGGAGCTGGAGTTACGAATGAGGCTCCCTCACTGTATTCCTCTGCAGGGCTCTCGCATCAATCCTTGGCACCCATCCGTTTTTGATATGGCTCTGCCCCAAATGCAATCCTAGCATGCTTGATATCATATTGGCCGCCGTTTTTTATTTCCAGCCAAATGATCACAGTATACTTCTAATAGCCTGAGTTAAACCAGCCAGGTTGAAAATACTGCTGGCGACTGCTTCTCTAGTGATAGTTTCATTGTTTTAGGTGTTGAATCTGACTCCCCATGTGTAGTTCCTTGGGGTGTGCTCGGTTGCAGTAGATAGTGAGGTCCTCCATCGTCTATCTTCAATTGAACAAAGAGTTTGCTTACCACCTACTTCAGTAATAGGACTAGCTTCCTGCCGCCGATTCGCTATTAGTGCCTTGCCTGTTTTGATGGTTGAGAGATTTTAGATGTGAACATGCCATTACTTCTGTTTTGATTTTGGTGGCACTGTCAATATTTGTGTATTTCTATTTTATGAAATGTTTTTTTTTTTAAAAGAAAAGAAAAAAATTGTACATGGGCATACCTCTGTCTACTCCAAAGTTTTGTCAGGTAAGAGGTGTGGGGTGTGTTAGTTATTCCTGATTAGATGCAAGTGACATTTGAATGATCATACAAAGATATGAAAATTTTGTTTTGTACCTGTTTGTGTTTGAAAAATGCTTCACTTAATCAAGGTCTGCATCACAAACAGCCCTCATAACACATTGGTATGTTTGATTTTAAAAGTTCAGTGTCACCTTGCTCTCATGACTTTTTGCACCTCAAGTAGTATAAAGTGAAGACAATGTTGTTAATAGTATAAGTATTTTTGATTTGCTATTTCTGGGAATAAGATATTCTTGAATTAAATCTAAATAAAGAGTTTTTATGTTGTCATATTTACAATACAATTATACATGTAATTGCAATTAAACATGAGTTGGTATTTAGGAGTATTTAATATAAATAAAATTTATTAAAATTTGGTGCCTATCATATGAATAATGAGACAAATAATTTTATTTTATAAAGAATATGTACATTGGTCTAAACATTTATAGTTTACAATGAAAAATTAGTTTATTTAAGTCAATCTTCTTATGATAGCTAAAAAACTCTCAATATATTATAATCAACTTGTATAAAGTATATTTTATTATATTTATAATAATATAATAATAAGTGGTCATTTAGGTATTATAATAGAGCATGATAGCATAGTTTTTTTGTTATAGTTTAGCATAGGCTCTATTGTCTTATAACATGGCTATTGGACAAAAGAAAATAAAGAAGAAGAAGAAAGGATTATATTAGAAAAAAAATATTTTAAAGATATAAGTTAAAATTAAGAAGGTAGTAAAAAAATAAAATTAATATTAATGTTATTTTTTTATAAAGAAAACTTCTACTTACTTTGTAAGTTCATAAATAAGACCAAACATAGTAGGTTAGCAAAAATAATATTATAGGAATCTTTTGATGAAATTTAAGAATAGATTTTAGCAAAAATAACGTACAAAAACCTTAGATGATATGCAAAGAGGACAAGTTATGAATCAAGGTCAAAACTAGACCTTAAGGCATAAAATTATACATCAATAGCAAATGTGAGTTTTTTTGGTGATTAAAAAAAGAGACTAAAGAGCAAACATGATAGGATTTTTTGAATATTAGATTTGGAGGAATTTGGTAGATAAAAACTTTATGAAAACTTTGCAAAGTCAAGGTTTTTTTGGATGAATTTTTGTTTTGTGAAATAAAAAAGGATTTCTTTTATTTTAGAAAATTACATGAATTTTAAATAGATTTATGAATAAACTTTTGTAGATTTGTGAATTTTTTTTTGATGTGTATTGTAAATTTGAGCTTAATTGGATGGTAGAAAGTCTTAAAGTAATATTCTATCAAGATCATCAAGCTATTTTAATATATATATATATATATATATATATATATATATATATATATATATATATATATATTCTTTTATAACATTTGTCAAGGGCTTGAATATCAAAGAACTAAAATGTCAATACATTCTTGTGACACTTGAAAAGACTAAAAGAATCACTTGAAGATGATATAGTATTAAATTAGAATGATTATTACAGTCTTTGTTTTTTTTTTTACAATATTTATTGCTATCAAATTAGCTATAGAATTAAATTAGAATGATTATTAGCTAAAAAGAAGACAAATGCCACCTCCTCCTATAGAAGTGGATAATAATAAAAAATTTGAGATGGAACAAGTCTTACATTCAAGGCAACATTGAAATAGGTTGAATATACTTCAACGGACTTGGCAACGGTTCAAAACAAGTGTTCTTCATTTTGTAATTGCATTGCTTTTTTAGACAATGTAGAGCTATGTGCTTAGCTTTTCTATAATATAAGCACAAATCCTTTAGACAATGTAGAGCTATTTGCTTAGCTTTTCCATAATATAAGCACAAATCCTTTTGACAATGTCAAATCTTTTTCTGCTTTGTGAGAAATTTAAAACGTATTGTATTAATTTGCATTGATTTTGGCCTTGATGAATAAGTTTCTAAAAACTTGGAAACTCTTGTCATAACTTGACTTGTTTCTCTCTAGCCAAGTCTTTGTTCTTAATGCCTTTCAAATAATTAATTGTCATATGCAATGGTTTGAATAATAAATTAATCTAAGGATTCTACCTTTGGTATTATGAATAACAAATCTTTGACATTATCCTTCAATTCATATCTTAATTGATTGATAAGGGCTTTGTCATTCTAGTCCATGTTATAAACAATATTTTGGAATTTAGCAACATATGTGGTAGCTGACCATGATTTTTTTTGTAAAGATAAGAGCTTGGTCTCTTCTATTATTTCTTGATGACTTTCTTCAAATATAGTCATAAATACTTCTAAGAATGAATTCAAATTATAAAGGAGTTATGAATCTTTTTCCATTAAAGGTGCAAACTAAAAAATAACACTTCCAGATAAAAGTTTGCATATGAATCCAACTTGAGTAAATCCATCAAGGTATTGGAAAGGATGCAACCTTAAATAGAGTTGACTTATTACAAAAATCCTCAAAATTTTGATTTTTTTCTATCAAATTTATTTAGCATACTAATCCATATCTTTATTGTACTTATAAAAGTAAAACTTCTTAGATTTGGTTGTGAGGTTGATTTATTTCTTTTATCAATTGTACAACTTCTTCTTATAGGTTCTAAAATTCTTCTATAAGTATAGGATTAGTGTTTCCAAAGTTAACACTGATGATGTGTGAAATTTCTACTCTAAACGTATTAACAAATTTGTAAAGTTCTATAATAGTTACAAATCTATTTTTCACTTCTACCAAATGTAGCATCCATGATTTTTTCTTTTATTTCAAATAACTTAACAAATCCACAAGTTAAATTAAAGGAAGGTAGTTCGTAAACTCTAATATCAAATGAAAATTTCTACAAAGAAGGATAATCCACTCTTTTTAAGAAAAAAAATTAGTATTAAAAAATTAAATAGTTTGTTTAAAGATGAATAATTTGCAACCTTCAAAACACAATAATAGAAGTAAATAATCTATTTACTTTTAAAACAAGTGAAGAACAAAAGATTAACACTCTTATCAAATTGTCAAGGATATGAATCTTAAAGAACTAAAATGTCAATATATTCTTGAAATACATGAAAAGACTAAAAAGTTACTCAAAGATGATATAATATTAAATTAGAATGGCTATTGCCAAAGAAAAAAAGACTAAAAAATCTTAAAACAAGATTAGAGACTAGAAAGGTGTTGATAAGAATGAAAAAGGCTTCACTCTTGCTTCCATATATATTCTTAAGTAGGAGCTATATGGCGATATCCTATAGGACTTCTAAAACATGTTGACTTTATAAGAGGTGTATCTTAACTTGCAAGGCAAATATTTTATATATATGCCATAGAATTAGCTTATTCCACAAGCTACCAACATGTGGTTAACTTATTGATCAAGTTTCTATCCTACCAATCAAGTACAAATACATGTAAAGTAAAAGCAATATCTACGAAGCTTCTAAGAAGCTACTCTAAAAAATATTGTGAAATAAATTTATTTTTATCTACTTCTACTTAATCATATAAATAAATATTATAATAAATATGTATGTTTATGACAACATTATCCATATGATTACTCAATTGATCTTTAAGAAGAACCTTAACCATCATTTGGACCAATTTATAGCTTATCAAAGAATAAGTTGACTACACTCAAGGAAAATATTGACTAGAATTTGGTTAAATATTTCATACTCCATTCTAAATTTCTATCAAGTGCTCATATTTTATTTGTGAATAAAAAATATAGATCATTGCAAATATGTGCATTATGAAAGACTCAATGAGATCACTATAAAAATAGGTATCTTTTATCTTTAATATCAAGATTTTTTTATTAATCAAATTAAATAAATTTTTATACAAAAATAGATTTATAAAGAGCATATAATTTAATATACATTAAAAAAGAAATAAATGCAAGAGTATGTTTTAAACCAAGTATGAGTATTTTGAATATAATGTCATGCCTTTTGAATTCACAAATGCATTAGTTTCTATTCAACATTTAATGAATGATATTTTATAAGAGTTTTTAGATTATAATATTATCTATTATCTAGATGATATTTTAATCTACTCTAAGAATATAGAAAAATATAAATTTTATATTTATTATGTGTTACAAAAACTAAGAGATATAGGATTCTATAACGAGATGAAAAAGTGTGTATTTTACACAATTAAAGTTAATTTCTTAAGATACATCATTTTAAATGATGGCCTTATAATAGATTCTAAAAAAGTTTAAACTATTTTTAATTAAAAAGTTTCAAAAATAATAAGAGACATCTATTTAATTTAATTTAATTTTTAATTACTATCAAATCTTTATTAAGATTTTTTTAAAGTTGCAACTCTACTTACATATTTAACTTGTAAATTCAAATTAAAATAAGATAAAGAAACTAGAGCAAAATTTGAAGATTTGAAGATTGATTTTATTTTAAATATAATTTTACATTGTGTTGATTTTTTGAAGGTATTTTTTTAATAAAATAGATGCTATTTTGAGGATATAAGGAGTTTTATGATAGATTTTGGAGATTGGAAGGTGCAACTGCAAAGATAATTTTAAGATCTACATCTTTTGTGAAGGAATTTTTGCATTTACAATTTGTATGAAGAAGTTATAGAGCATTGAAGATAAGACATGTAATTCAAAGGCAATAAAGATAATTTTATATATAGACTTAGTGCTTTCTTTATCTAAAGGCTTGATTGAGCATTTAGTAATAGCCAAAAGTCCAGCGCTTTCTCAAGGCAAATTTTTTCTACCACAACATATTGGTGCTTCCATTGAAAGAGCCTTAACGTATTAAATTTCTTGACAAGTCAAGATAGGAGATACAAAGCAAAGAGGCTCAAATGATGGAGGTGGTCAGAATCTTACAAATGAATTTTTAAAGGCCATGCAAATGTTCATAGGTGAATATGTTG